CCCCAAAACCCCAAAACCCCAAAACCCCTGATATAAATATAAAATAGAATAACAATCATGTACAAATTCAGAAAGAACCTGCGCTCTCGCTCCCTCAACCCCCGCTCAGCCAACTCAAACGAGTAAACCCCCATACCCCAAATTCCTCCTCTTCTTCCCAAACCCACAGTTTTCCATTAACTTATCCTTCTATCCTTAAGCACAAAAATCCATCCAAAAACTTATAAATTCCATTTTTAAAGTTCAAAGGCAGTTTAGGCTATTTTTTAATATTTTTGAGCTAATTTTGTGCTATAGAGAGATTAAGACAGCTCCAGTGGGAGGGCGGGAAGGCGGCCTAGGGGTGGTAGGCAGTGGGCAGAAGTTTAGAGATCGGATAAGGAAGGAGCAGTGGAGACGAGGGCTTGGAAGTGGACTGGAGATGAGAGGGATGGAGTATAGTAAATAAGATTGATGTGATGAAGAAGCCGTATTTTAGAACAGCGTTGAAGAAGTGAGAGATTGAGGGGTTATAGTGGTTTGGAGGTATTTTTGAGGGATGTGGAAGAGGATTGTTTAGGTTGTAATTTTTTGTAATTTTTCAGATTTTGGAGATTGTTGAAGTTTAGTTGAGATATATAGTTTGATGAGAGTTAAAACGATGCTTGAGTCTATTGATGTACATTTTCATTTCTCTAAAAACTATCATTTTAAAGGACAATTATTTTTCAAGGAAGATTAGATTTTATATATTTTTGATAATTGGGTGGATCTTTATTATTCCCTGCAACCTTCTAAAACTTCTAACTTCTTTGTTTAGAAGCAAAATATTAAAGTCTCAGTTTACCATTGATGAAAAAGAGATGCCTCAATTGTTTATTCAATCAAAATAAGCTACAGATTCAATCTCTAAAAACTCAGTCTAAATTACGGTGAAGAACGACTGAAAAATCAAGGGTATTTTTAATTTCTAATCTCCAGAGCAAAATCAAAAACTTCATTAACAAGAACACAAACTACTATGATAACTCGATAGTTCTGAAGGGCTCGGCGCTGAATGTTTCACATCTCAGCTCTACCTCTTCTTATGAGTACAAGAAGCAGTCATCTCTGACAGAATCTGTACTAAAGGCTCAGAATTTGACACCTCAAAAGGATCTGGCTCCTATACCTAAGCTTAAAGATTTCTACAATACCACACATAAGCAGTATAAAGGATTCCTGGAACGATCTCCTCTGAAACTAGGCTTTACAGTAAATCTCAGCTAAATTTTAGAAAAAATTTAATAAGAATTTTAACATTGAGATCTGTAATAAAGGAATCAATCGGATGTATATAGCCTTTAAACTTTATAGAAAGCTCAAGAAGCACAAGGCGAAAGATAAACAAGCAATAATGACCGAAGCCTTTAAGCATTTCATGTCAGTCCATAGGACGAAAAATACCTTACCTTTGAAGAATTTTTGGGAAAGAAGAGGTTCAAAAATTGACGACAAGAGTCTATGATTTATCCAATCTATCACCAAGAGTAACTATACGCCCGAGAATCAGCTTAATGCGAGCAAGATTTTGATAAAGGAGCCTCCCTCTTCTTCGCCAAGAGAGAACAGCCAACCAAAGGTAACTAGAACTATTCAAATCGAAATATTAATTCCATCTCTGGTCTTAGCAGCACTAAATTTATTCCTTCTGAGGTTGCTAAATTTTGGTAATTTTACACTGAGAGAACTGTCTTGAGGTCAATTCTATCAGACAAGTCCTCTATCTTTGAATTATGGCTTTAAGGAAATCCGAATCATTAGAGTGAGACCAGCAAAATTCTAGTTTGTTGTAGTAATTTCTGCATTGAAAATAGGAAGGATTTAGAGCATTGGGTATGGAATAGTGGAGAAATATGGAACCTCAAGGGCTTGTGATTGCCAAACTTATTAGCTTATGCTCTGTATACACTTTAGATACAAAACTCGTCTAAATTGTAAAGCCACGCCTTATAAATAACCCTTGTGTAGATAACAATCGACCTAAGTATGACTTCAAAGATCGGAATGAGCAAGTTCTGACTAAAATCCCCTTTCCGATTCAGGTCTGGCAGAAGTGGTACAACAGAGTAACCTCACTAATTTCAAAGATGGCTTCAATATCGACTGACATTTTCGGGGTTTTGGGGTTTTGGGGTTTTGGGGTTTTGGGG